AAAAAAAAGATAAACACCTCAAAGACAAGTGGAGCTTTGAAACGTTATAGTTTATAAGTAAGTTACGGTTTGCGCGCGCGACTTTAGAACCATCAAACAGATGCACTTTCCTAGCGTCTGCTCCAAACGGTCGCCCACCTTCGAGTGTTTGCAAATACTGTTATCCTCTTCTCCTATATATATCTCCCCCTTTTATTTTCGTGTTTTATATACTTCTATCTCCATTTTCCTATTCTAATGTTTAGCATTATCTCCGTTTCCGCTTCAATTACACAAATACACAAATACACACACACATACACAAACAATAATTCAAAAGGAAAAGATCGTGTGCTTTCTATACATTCCATCCTACATATTTGACAATGGATGAAATGACAACTGCAATGATATCCCATCAAAACGTTTGATACAAGTCAAGTTGTTTACTCTCATATTGAAGTTTTTTTTACCATATTTATGAAAACACGTACTTTCTACTAAATTAAACAAATAATTAACAAAAAAAACTTATTTTTGACAGTTGATAACATAAAAACTACAAATCTCACAAATGTGTTTGTAGTTTCATTGAAAAGCTCATAATTTTATCTTTAAAATGCGTATTTTATCATCTAATTGACTTTAGTGGTTTTGGAGTAATTAAATAAAATGTAAAGGTGTGACAAAAATAGAAAAATTAAAATATGCTAATCATTAAGTTATAATTGTTGTATTGGTAATTGCATAATTGATTGCTTATTTATTGTGTTATAATTAAAATATTTAAAAATTGTAATATTTTTAGAGTAATTCTGTAAAAAAACAATAAATTTTCAAATAATTAGAAAGAAATTGTGAAAATAAATTAAGTATAAAAATATCTTAATATTTTTTTGTAAAATAAAAATTGGATGAAAAACGTCTGATTCAAGTTAAGTTATTTACTATTTTATACTATGTTTATAAATAAATGTTGATGAAAATGTACTAAATTAAACAAATAAGAGAAGCACAAGTAATTGAAAGAGAACACAAGCTTAATTTTGATAGCTTATAATAAGAAGTCTCCAAATCTCACTAATGTATTTATAGTTTCATTGAATTGCTCATAATTATGTCTTTAATATGCTTATTCTTTGTTCTAATTGGCTTTTGTGGTTATCGAGTAATCAAATAACATGTAAAGGTGTGACAAAAATAGAAAAAAAATAACATTTTTCAATCATTATGTAACAATTTCTATAAATTAGTAAATTCCTAAGTTTTTTATTATATTATAATAAAATCTATAAAAAGTTTAATAATTTTTGAGAATAAAACTTATTTGAATATGTAGGAAAAAAAAATGTAAATAAAAAATTAAGAAAAAAATATTACAAATTTTATTACTCAACTTTGACAGCTCATAACAATTGAACTGCGAATAATAGGAATCTCTTAATAGGCTCATTGGAAAGGCAATATTTTTGTCTATATTAAATGTATAAACAACTTATATATGTAATATTATTTATATGAAAATTAATATTGTGAAATTTACACAAAACAATTTTTAGTAAAATAAAATTTTCAGTAAATAAAATAAACGTGTTGCATATTTGGGTGTAGTGTTTGAGTAATGGTCTGTCAAATATTGAATAGGAAATATGTGTTTTGGAAATGGGCTGAAAATTATTAGAGTGCAAATACTGGTTCAAATGGAAATAAATTAAAAAATGTAAAACCAATTCGAATGTTTAATTTAGAGTTTTGCATAATAATTATTTATATTTAAAATTAAAAAGAAAATTTCACTTTACATATTATAAATATGTACTATTAAATAAGGAAATAATTTTAGAAATTAATAATCTAAAAGTGAAATAAATTTATATGAATTTCATTTTTTCAATTACAGCCAAATTGATAAAACCACAGTAATATATGAATACTCATTACATTCCCCAATAATCTAACTTTTATTTGTATCTTTTGAATCCATTCAAAATACACCAATACTCGTTACATTCCCCAATCATTATAGCTTTAGAATCTATTATAGTTTACAGACTAAAATGTAGAAACAATTCTGCATTTAAACTTAATGAAAAATAAGCGGAAATTCGTTGGTAAGTGGTAATAGCAACGACGAAGACGTCTGTAAAACGCAATTATCAGTCCTGTTATCATTCGCCTCTTTTTACTTAGAAACTAGGTTCTTGTAACGTTCTCGTTTTCGTCTGCCTCGAAACGGTTTTATACGTCGTCGTCGATTTTCCTCATTTCTAATTCAATCCTCAGGTAAAAAATACAAGCAAAGAAAACACTCTCTACACACCACGAGAAAAGAAATAAACACACAAAAAGAAAAGCAACATCATTTAATTACTTATTTCCTTCTACAAGAAACATGAATGTTTATAAAGATACATACATATAGAAAAAAAAGCAAACAAATTTGAAATTATAAAGATGTTTTTTAATTATATGTAAATATTGTATAAAATCATTATTTTTAAATAATTATATAACAGGTATATCTAAACAATTTATTTGATTTATTTATTTATTTATTTATTTATTTATNATAGTAAAGTAATGATTTGGCACATTTAATTATATGTAAATATTGTATAAAATCATTATTTTGTAAAATAATTATATAACAGGTATATTTTTTTATTTATTTATTTATTTATTTATTTATTTATTTATAAATTATATAACAGGTATATTTTTATTTATTTATTTATTTATTTATTTATTTTTATTTATTTATATTATAATTTTTCACACAAAAACATAATTAGAAATTTTAAACTATTTTTATTTCATGTTTAGTTTCAAGAATTAAAATTAACGTTAAACTGGAAGTAATACAAGTTGTAACATTAAACCTGATTTAAACTAGAATAGATTTAAAGTGAACTGCATTTATTCATGTTTTGCACTTGACACTACTTTCGTTAATTACAACAATTGACAACAACGTTTCTAATTAGTATGAATTCCTTAATTACACAAAAATATAAATTACGTTTTAATCGATTTTTTTTAAATTAATCCAACTTTTTTCTATTGGCTTCTTTCTATTAACTTCATATTATTATTACCTAGATTAAGCGCATTGTACATAAAGAAAAAGCAAAAAAATACTATATTTATAAAGAAATATTAAAGGAAATGTACTTTTTACTAAATTATACAAATAATTGAAAGAAATG